CCTTATCAACAACTGGAACAAGGGTGCAGTCTTTTCAGCGAAGTGCGGTACAAATTTGGCGTCGTATCCCAATAATTCCAAAAACGATCTTAATTGGCGTTTGAACTTTGGAGGAGAAAAAATTCGAATCGCTTCAGCCATCTCGGGCAACGGTTTAATTTTACCTCCACCAACAATGTCACCCAAGCAGGTGATTGTGTCCCGAACGATTTGGCATTTCTTTGCACTTAGTTTCTAGCCAGCACTTTTGATTCTCCCAAGCGCCGCTTCCAGCCGACGCGCATGTTCCTCTGGTGTCTTCGAGAGCACAACAATATCGTCCCCGTACAGTACAGTGCGATTGCTCCATCGCTTACCATCGTCTCGTCCCTCTCACCCGTGACATTAATCAAGTAACTTCCCTCTGACCCGTTCTGTGATCTGATTGACGGCGCTTATAATCTCTCACTCCAAAATGAGTCTGCCTGATTACCGGCATATACGTTTTGTCATACTCTTGTTGTTACGTCCAGTCTATCCATGTGGCGAAGGCACGCCTGCTGTACAGTCGAAGTTCACTGGGCCTGCCTGAGACTCACAGCTGTAAAAAAGGTGTGGTTTCTCGCTCGGGTTAGCTGGGCCCTCGTTGCGGCTGAATCATCCGACCGATCGATAAATGAATCCGATCGGTCATGTGATTTTCGGGCCGGCACGGGGGAAGGATAGGTTCCGAATCTGATGCTGCCTAAGTGTTGGTAGAGAATCCCCAGAAGAGAATCAGTTGTGGGAAATTCAGAATGGAAAATGCTCAAGCGATGATGACACTGGGCCAACGCTTGACTCGTCTAAGATACACGCACTATTTATCGAAGCGGGTTGGGTAAACAGATAATAAAACTGAGATTGTCTTAATAACGGACAACAATATCCCCTAATGTAGGCCCACGCAAAACGCTTCTTGTTTTTTCCCAACTGGTTGTTTTCACGCTTTTACGATCTCGTTAACTACTTCGGAGATAGAATTCCGAAAGAAAGAAAGAACAAATATTACGGAAAGATATATTCATATCATAAAAGTTGTTCCATATGTTTTCTATTCTGTCGCTTGCATAGAAAAATCCGGTGAAGATAGTTTTCTTCCACCCTCAGAATGATAGTAGTTGGAATACTTTCGCACTGCGCCACAACACTCGGTTTATGCTCCTCGACCGTTCTCGTTTTTCGGGCATAAACTGTTCTCTCCAGATATCCCCACAGAAATAAATCCGAGGGGCACAGATCTGATGATCTTGGAGGCCATTCCTTTGTTCCTCCTCCTCCAAACTGACTATTGACACAATTAGCATACCGGCAACGGTTGTCTGAATTCTACGGACTGGTATGTTGTCAATTGTGATTCATTAGAAAATATTTTCTAATGTTTATCCAATTGTTAGCAAGTTGTCTCTTCAAATAAACAAATGTGCTACTAATCACATTGAAACCAAAAACCTGATACTATTTAATACATTTTAAGGAAACTTCATTGCATAATTGCCTGTCATAGTGACTTCAATGTGAAAGGATCTGTATGTTTTAGACTTCGGTCCGTGTCTTGGAGCAAGAGAATCGATCAAAGAACCATATACGTGGTTGAACTATGCCGAAGTACGGGTTTCCCTTAATTTTGCAGACGCACAATTTCATGATAACTCTCGATTCAGGTATCAGAATGTGTACGAGCTTTTGGATCCGCTATGAGACAGACTACCGGTCCGAAAGGGAATAAAACCGAATTTGTTGTGATTTTGCACGAGAATTCACCGGAGGTAGGTCGGTGCTAAACTAACCTGAACCAATTTCCATACGAATGATTCATTGGGTCAAATATGCTGTATCATATCATCACTGCTTTCTTTGTGATACAGTGGGTCATCACCCAGTTGGCTTGCGCGGCCTATGGATACGCCTATGTGCCACTGTACATGAATATGAAGCCTGAGATCATGAAAAGCATTTTCGATGAAAGTGAGTTCGTGTTCGAGCATTTGCAGCTCTCAGTCTCTCTCTCACTGTATATGCTGTCAGGTTGATGAGATGAGGGAAAAACCCACATCCGACATAAACCATAATTCAGACAGAATTGCATATATAATGTCAAGATAGTCCTACAGAGCACATGCGAAACAAAATAACAGAATGCAGAACAAGCTCGATTTTGGTGATTCGTATTCATGCCAACACATCACAATAAATATGCATACTTATACATATATTTATACCAATACTCGGTAATAAAATTGTCTTGGGGGAATAAAAAAATTTATGTGATGCGATTGTTTTAAATTTTGTTTTCCCGAGGTAATTTCATTTCCAAGTGGTGATACATATTGGGATGTATTTGTGTGAATACGAATAACTGAAAACGAGCTTTTTTGCCACTTTGTTGTTTTGTTTGAAATTACGCAACTGTTTTTGGCCGCTTGATTCTTCGAAATAGTACTTTTGATGTTACGTAGTGTACAAACTGGACAATTGATAGGTAGCAGGTTTTGTGGCATCGTTGAATCCATTTCATCAGACAAAGTTATATGAAAGTGGACAAAAGTTCATATTAGAAGCAAGTTCTCCATTTATCCAAATTTGAAACTGCAAGATGATTTCGGAGCTTGTTGTGTGAATAGTATTTTATTACAATCAACCTCCAGGGACATATTTAACTATGGAAAATAATTATTGGAGGGTCATAGTTCCAATCCACTTGATTTGCTTCCCAAGCGTTCAGTGGTGTTATCGCTATAACAAATTGGATCACTCTAAGTAGTTCGGTTGTCGAAAAATTGCAGAAGATGTACTTCGTTAGTGTAAAAAATCGAGTGGTAGCGCATGCACAACGTGGAGAACAACAAGTGTTTTCTTTTCTTCTGTTTGGTTGAACTCGCGAGATTTCGAAAACCATTCTTTATCAGATTTGAGTACTGGTAACCTACCTGGTCCTAAGATATCAAACAAATCGGTTTGATTATCGTTATGTGTTACCTCAGTCGATAGGCCACCACATCACCCACATGAACGGCCCCATTCGACTTTGACGGTTGAGTGGTTGCGTTCGTTATCATCGTGATAATGAGTGTGCTTAGCTCATGGCTGTTTTGCAAAACATGACTCTTGAACGGTACGCTGTCTGCATGTCTGTTTTTGGTCCCCAAACCCAACTACCACCCGTGAGAAACCAAACTCCTACCGAAATTCAATGTCACACCCGCTAAAATAATTTGATGCCGAGTCTTGTTGTGGTGCCTTAATTTTGTTCACACTGTAATACATTCGCAACCGGAGCGAGTTCACAGATCCCCCGCCGATGGACTCACCTATCTGAAGATACCAAACAGATTGCCCACTCCATTCTGACTGACATGACTGGAATGAATCAGTTAGTGCATTTGGGCATGTGCTGTTGTGATGTAGCCGCAACTGTCTCGAACGCCCTATACCTGTCCGTCATACAATAGTGGGTAGAACGCTTTCGATCAGTTAATTGGCTGAGTGAATAGTAGAAATATAATCAGTGAAAATTTCTGAATGAAATTGGTTATTTTTTATCTTGGAAATTCATTTTGTGCGTCATTTGATCAAGGCACCGAACATGGTTGGCTGATGCATTTTTCTCTCTCTATCTATGGTACGAGATTTGATTGACTAATTTTATTCAGGATGAGCTATGATAAATTCTCAAAGAGTATTAAATCATGCAACCAGGTCAGAGAGCCTCCAAGGCTATTTGTGTCGCAACTAGGTGAGTTTTAGCGAACCCATCTCTCGATCGGGTAGTAGAACTGAATCTATCTATATATGTCTCGCATATTCTCAACAGACATCTTTTAGCCAAGTGAAACCGAAACAAACGGAGCAAAGACAATTAAGCTTTGCTGTTTTTATGCCAAAACGATGATGAAGCACACCTATTAGCCTAGGAACATANCGCACCACTTGATACTGTTACAGTAGGGGTTAAATGCCTATCCGAAATGCTAAAGTGGGTGGTTATTAAACATGATAATAGTATAATAGTATAACTGAACGTTGCACTTCACGCTCAGTTGAATACAATGAGAGGAGACATGTTGAGAGCTAATTGGCACGGCTGAATTAAGAGACTCCTCTTCGTCTACGAACACCACCACACGTAGACGTGCTCGCTAGATGATGCACCCAGTGCACGACGCATACGGTTTACAGTTTGTGGTCTCACTTGAATGACGTGGGCGTGTTTGCTGGTCGCGAATACAGTGCGATTGATCCATCGTTTGGCATTGTTTTGTCTCTCTCACCCGCGACAAGTAACTTCCCTCTGACCCTCTCTGCGATCTGATTGGATAATATGCCAACCCGAAAATTACATGATGAATCGGGTTTATTTATCGATCGGCCGGATGGTTCAGCCGCAACGAGGGCCCCGGTGCTGGCCCAGCTAACCCGAGCGAGAAACCACACCTTTTTTACAGCTGTGAGTCTCAGGCAGGCCCAGTGGACTTCGACTGTGCAGCAGGCGTGCCTTCGCCACATGGATAGACTGGACGTAACAACAAGAGTATGACAAAACGTACAAGTCGACGGTTTGACAGTCTCGTGTTAGGGTGAGGGAGTTCAGTTGCCGCAAATCGCGGAATATGATCCAATCAACTCGCAGAGAGCGTCAGAGGGAAGTCACTTGTTAAGTGTCACGGGTGAGATGAACGAGACGATGGTAAACGATAGGGCAATCGCGCTGTACTTCGACATTATCATCCGGAGCATAGAATGCATTTTTAATGAAGGATTGGCCAACGACGGTCACTCTATTCGGTCTAATCAAACCGATAAATCTTTTACCGCAGACTGCAATCGGAGGCCGTTGCAGCGTCCCAGAAGCAACCTACCATTGGTCGAAATAGTGATTCGTGTGGAGATACAGGCCAATAGTAAGTTGTTTTACACACAATCGAGCCCATTTCTTTATGCGAGATCAAATCAACACACTGAGATGAATCCTTTAATAAACTGAATGAATGTGCTTATATGAGAGCACCGGTGGAAAACCATGGTGAACTCATCTACCACGACGAATATCAGAATCAAACAATAAAATAATGTAAATTTTATACTCGGTGAGCTCTATACCGGTCCTGGTCCACGGTTAACGTTTGCTCGCTCTAGTGTAACGATATAATACAATGCAAAACAATTTTCAACTGGGTTTCCCTTATCTCCAACTAAATTGGTCAGAATTCGATATGATCTTGTAATCTTTGCAGCGGAAAGGTATCGTGGAATACCCAAGGCACTTAATAATTCACCAGCCTCAGTATCCTCATCCACTAGAGGTGATCAGAAAAGATCAACGCTTTAGAAGTACTTAAGACAACATTCCAATTGCAGTTTTTCTTCAGATTTTAATAGGTAAATGTCACAGTTTGGCAGCTTGGTGTCGCAGTCGACAGTGAAAAATAGCGGACAGTTACCTGCATTAGCGTGAAGTTAGAAGAGTTGCTGACCCTTTACCCCAGTGGTTTGTTTGTTAAATTTTTTCATGAATTTCCTGATGAGATGGATTCAGTAAGGTTTCTTAGGAAAACGTCACGGCTAAAAGTCCTTTTTGCACTGTTTTTTTCCACCTACAAAAACTTTGCCGTCCGATTTTCCGAAACAAGAATCATGTTTTGTGTTTCATCCAGTGATCACAATCGCTCTGGGATTGAAGCACCCATTAGTGCTACGGATCAGTCACTGGATGAAGTTGTCTAAAAGGCTCCGGGATCAGACATCTGGAAAGTTTATGTGGTTAGTGTGGTCATTCTTTCAGCGAAAGTTTTATTTCATTCGGTAGAGTTGAATATTTTCACTACTGCGGATGCTCGCGATGCTGTTATTTATTCAGCACAAGAAGTCAGCGACAAACCGTACACAAAGATTAGTGTTTAATTGTATACTTTGAAAATAATTTATCTAGCTTAACTGTGCATACCTACACACATAGAAAACTGATATATTTTTATAACCAATCAGTCGCAAGTTTCAACTGAACAAATTATTTTTCTCATAATTGTTATCTGATTCCCCCTGTCTGTCACTTGCACTTCAGTACCAGTCTCCATTGTTGTCTGTAGCAGTGCAGACCAAGCGCTAGCAATTGTCGATTTGATTGGGTTTCGAGTGAAAAACTACATTTTGCTTAACCGGGATCAGCATTCGGATCGATTTAAACGGGAAAACGAACAAAATGCAAATATACTTTATTACGAAGAGTTTATGGTGGGTGCAAGATTTTCCAAAATTCCGACTTTTTACGTTGACAATGGTTTTGTTGGCAGTGGTACTCAACACGGATCACTACCATATTTCATGTTCCTGAGGCGATTCCAAGAACTTACACAATCATTTGAATGTTAATTAATTAGGAAAAACCAATTTAAATGATTATTGCCTTTTCTGTTCTGGAGTTCAAGTTACATTTCATCAAATAAGTAAATGTCACTCTCGTATTGCGTATTTATTTATACGTATATATTATTTATATGCAGATATTACCCGGCGGATAATAGCGACAACATATATTGCTCCATTATGCCCTCGACGATAGGATAGGAAATCATGAGTGTGCAATTCATATCTTTATTGATAGAATACACCGAAAACGATACCGAGGAACCAATAGAGGTAACATTGTTTAAGCTCATAGTATTGGACTGTTTTAATGGATGTGGATTGCTTGTTTGCTTTGTGTATCAGACATAACTTTTCCCCTATCTCGGGCATAGCAATACTGATTCTTACAGGTTTTCATTATTTTTCATACGTGTATGCTGCTATCCTATTTACCAGCGATAGAGATAACGTATGCTTAAGTGTCACAGGGTCGGAGGGAATTATCAAACTAATGATACACTCATAAGGCAATAAAAAGATGGAAACAAACAGGATAAGTGATTTCCTAATGTTTTCTGATGCAATCCTGAAACGAATTTTCCTTCTGAGAAATAAATGAAATGGAATATTTTGTTTTAAAATTCTTTTCAGGCAATGGGAAGAACAATGTTCTCGCCTACTCTGGCAAGTCTTTCGTTATAAGCGTTCATTTCAGTTCATCTTTAACAACCATCAACCATGCACCTCCTTGCGGCGGTATTTCATAGCGTCTTACATTCAAATTAAAACGAATAATTTGTACTTTATTTTTCTTGCATATCCGACTTACACTCTTGGATTTTCTATTTTATAAGTTTATCCATTTTGATACATACGTGTGGAACAAGAATGAAAGCGAAGGTCAGTTTACTGAAAAAGGACAACTTTTGAATGAACCACTGTTATATTTTGAATAAAAATGATTCAAAAGAATTGGCAATAACTTGTCACGAGATTTGTGATCAGATTCGTTTTTGCTCGAACAGATACCTTGAGGTCAATGGCGATATCAGACGCCAGCTGGAATGTTTCAGGTTTTTGTCTGTTATGGTTCTGTTGTGAGAAAGCAATACGTCAACAAACGGTATGGCAAAGATGGTTGAAATCGAAGAGAAACTTACGTTTGACATCATCTAACCGGTAGTTCAACAAAGAGCACCGACGCCTGTTGTGTAGAACAACATAGCGAGCGAACCAAGATGGCTGTCTGTCTGGACAAAGACGGATTAGAATCGACCACTGAGGAAGCAGGAAACAAGGAAGATTGTCCGAACAGAGTTTGACCGGTGACAACAGTCGATAGTGGCAATGTAAAAAGTAAAGATGCACAAAATGTTACAATGATCCATCGATTTTTTGTATTCCTAAAGAATTTTAAATTTCCCCAAATTTCAGATACACTTCTTTTTAACGATTTAAACTTCCCACAGGATATCGAACCCAACGAAGTGGCCGTTGTTCTCTACACCAGTGGTTCTGAAGGTAAGCACATTATCTCACGGAGTTGCAATGAACCCTTTTGACTAATTGGAAATAGGTTTTTCCGTGATAAAGATGTGGTTTCTCGCTCTGGGTAGCTGAGTCAAGGCCATGTGGCTGAACCATCCGACCAATCGGTAAACGATCCCAATCGGTCGTGTGATTTTCGGGCCGGCAGAGGAGGAGGATAGGTTCCGAATCCGATGCTGCCTAAATGTTGATAGAGAATCACTAGAGAGCGCATTCGAGAACAATGCCCCAGTTGGCTTAGTCGAGGATTGACGAGGCCCGGGGGTATGGTGATCATGTCTCATTTGGTCGGATCCGAAAATCGTGTCAGAATGAGTGAAGCAGTCAGGCCAATCTACACGATCACTATGATGATTTCGAAGCAGATCAAGCATCGCTCACTGTCAACAGCCGAAGCGATCGCGATTCCGTGGAACCAGTCCCAGCTTGTGCGTTCAAAAACAGTCAGTCAGAGCTCTGAAGTTAACATGACGATAGAGCGACATAAAGCCGGCTATCATTTAAGTGTCAAGTCGTTCAAGTATCTTATACATTAAGCATAGGCTCAAGTTGTTGGGTTGATTTGGTGATCCAGGCTTCCGTGACCGCAATCCATGCAGGACTAGGTACAGTTTCATGTCATCCAATCACCGTTCAGGAAGCTCGACCAATGGTACACTGGGCGAACGTGACATCCGAGTTAGTACATATGATGCGTCGGCGCAAACGGTTACGTAATTGGACGACGGCCCTTCAACCAATCATATGAGATATTTTCTTCTATAAAACATGCTCTAATTCTATCAATAAACATAAGCATTTGCTGCTATCAATTCCTCGTGTCTTTCATTGGTGTCTGCAGTTTGGGTTGGAGCCAATTCAGTTCTGAGCAGTACAGTACGGATCCTCGTATACCTAAATTCAATACTATTCTGATTACTACATTGGACCTCGTCGGTTGTCACAGGTGAACGTACTGTTCAAGTTTCCTGGCGATGCCACTATGTGGAACAGAGTTCTCAACCTACCGTTGAAGCGCGAGGTATACGGTTATGAGACGTGCCTTGATCACACACACCTCAATCCCATGGCATATCTTTGTCTTTTCTTGTAGACCTAAGCGTTTGCAATGTGTCAACTCCGCCGAACCATCAACCAATCACGTTTTGGCGTGATTCTCTGGCACCAATAAATGACCCACGGTCAATATATACATCATTTTGACACAAATACATATAATTTTAGTGTGCAGTTTGCAGACTACAACTTTTGCCATTTCGTTGAGGACACGCAGAGTACGTTTCGTAATGACTGACCATTCATCACGGAAACCCTATCCAAAAGACATCCATCAGTGAGTTTTAACAACCTTCGACCAGGATGATGACTGGAAGAGCGTTGCTACCACTCTTGGTGTGCATCAGCGTACAGCTAACCGTTGGGTACATGCTCGGGAGAAAGGTTATATAGCTGGAGTTCACGGTGGAGCTCGGAGATGAAATTTGTGTGAGGTTGAAGTGGATCAACTGGTTGGGTGGATCAGCGAAGATTGCGCACTTTCTTTAGAAACGCTGCGATTGAAATTGAAGGCCGAATACGACAGAGCGGTTTGTTGCAGCCCCCACTGGCAACTACCTGAACGGCAGACTCATTACCATTACCAGGCTGATGTTCATGTAGGTGGTGTAGTTGTTTGCCTGTCTCAACTATGTAGTGTTGATTGCTGCCCGGGTACGCGTAGATTGCCCCTGATCGTTCATACTGTTCGACTCAATCCTTATCGTAAAATAATCCCAGCGATGCATAAGAGCAAAGTCAAAATGTTTTGCATGAAATATCTCCCAAATGTGAGCTGTCACTTTCGAACTGCTACAAATATTACCGCAACTCTCAGGGTCGTGCAGATTCAAACGGTGATTGAAAAGATCTAAGAAAATAGCTGTGGGAGATAAAATCAGAAATAAATACATTTGATCCATAGTCATCAATATTCAATTGTGGTATTGAAGATTGAAATGTATTTCCAAAATGAGAGTGATGTTGCACGAGTTTGATCAACACCTGCATAGTCAAGAATGAATAAGACAGATGTGAACGTGTGCGAAAACAAAGAGACAGTAAATGAAGAGTGAGGATTCTCAGTGTGATGAGGTAATATTTGATAGCTGGGTTCTGTGAATCATTCATCAGTACCGAACACTTCTAGCTATTTACGGGAAGTAGCCATAAGTTAGAGCTTGTTTAATCTTTTTTCTGGAGGCCTGCATGCTTATCCAAGACATCGACGTAGGTCTGAAAATCTTCCTTCCTTTTAACTTCCTTCATAAAACCTTGCGTCGAAAAATGTCTTCCTCCTTTTCAGATCCGCGAGCCTAGGTAATATCACGTCATGTGTATAGATTGTTGGCTTCGGTAATCACCATTCTAAGAACGACCACGGTGGTGTTCCCATGGTGAACCTGAATCGAGAAATGCGTCAGTGGCAATAAGATTGTTCAAACACAGTTTGGAATTACTACTTGTGGATGGCATAAGTTAACCGTAATTCACCCGGTTTACTTTGTGTGGTGGAAGTGTTGAAGTAAGACTGTATGATTTCGGTGATGAAGATTATCGAATTCAGAGCCCATACTCAGAAGAGTTCATTTTAAAAACATTCCAATTTTAAAACTAGCATTTCCGTCAGCTAATTTGAAATGATTCCCGGACATCTTGAAATAATCCGAGGACATCTTGCTATGATACTGAGACGACTTGACTTGCAAAAGGTATAGATTCTTTGCATTGAAGATAACTAGCTCCAACTGGGCCTGATCACGTTTTCTGATGTCGTCCTCAATGATAGACTGTCTGTTTATTTTTGCCGGGCATTCTCCTATCCTTAAAGAAAAGAATGGAACGTGAGCTGTGTGATTATCTCAACCAAATTGACATGGGTTGAGTTCAGATTCCGAAGGGGTCGGTAGATATGCGCTACTGATGAGCTATCACATGAGTGAAACTGACGTACCTTCACTGTATTCTATCGAGTTTAGAAATTCCGT